CCTGCATTACCTTACCCAGAGGCCCCAAAGTAGTTCCATTTTGGGTTCATATATAGAATCCTATTGGGTAATCACAAAAGGAACTACTTTGGGGCCTATGGGTAAGGACCCTAAACTAGGGGAATTATGGAATATTCCTTGTTGTGGGTAATGCAGGATTTATATCGTCAACAGTAGCTTCGGCTTAATGTAGAACTTGAATGCCTTCAACCCTGTTCTATACCGCCTTTAGAACCATAGTAAACATAATGTGTTTAATCTTCTCTTGGGTGTTATATGAACAAAAATAAGAATAATTCCTAAAGAGGCTATGGTGTTTTGGAGCAGTGGACCCCAGAATAAGGTACCACTAATTTCGGAAATTTCTAAACCCATTATAGAGCCCTTTAAAGGAACCCCTATAGTACCCTTAAAATACAAAATAATTCCTAAAGAGGCTATCCCTAAACCCTAAACCCTAAACCGTAAACCCTAAACAGGCTATGGTGTTTTGGAGCAATGCATAGTATGATGAACTACGGGCCCCCTGAAGTCCCCGATGCTGGATTTTTCTGCTGAAGCGGCAGCAGGGAGCACTTATAACCGAGGACATATATAATGTAGGGGCCTTAAAAATTTGATTCGAGTTTTGGGGCCCATGAAACTTTGACAATAATAAGGAGCCCCCAAAATAGTCTTTGTAGTTATTTTGGCCCCTATATTCGGACCCAGAACAAGGGCATGCCGTGCTATCGTAGGTTTGTCCACAAGCTGGGATAGAAAGAATGAGGGTCACAGGGGCATGGTGTTACAAATTTCTCCGCGTCGGAGAACATGAGGTTGGCTCGAAAGCTGACTTGCAAGGGTTTTTGATGCAGCTGGCCACGTTGCTTCCGTTTCCTTTGAATTGCCCGCAATGGTTCGTGGGAGTTGGCCATTAGGTCAACACGAATCCTTAAAGACAGCGGTTCCTTGAGCACAGAACCGCGCGGCTGCGTGCGCAGCTGTTGGCCTCCAAGCGCGCCAGTCAGACTTCGTTGTTGTGGGCTGTACAAAGACTCAACCCGAAACCAACCTCGGAACGCAACATGAGTGCTTCTTCAGGCCTTGGTAGGTCCTCAGCCGGCCCTCACTATTCATGTGGGAGGGTAATTAATCGGGTAGTTCTCCAAAACACAGTCCCTTGTTAGATCCCCGAAACAGTACAGGATAAGGAGGACCTTAAAAGGGACCCTCATTTAGAACGGAAGCTAATACGTCATTGCTGTGTGAAACATTACGGCACTCTCTCTACGCAAACTTCTCCAATCCGAAGCTGACCTCTGACAAATGATACAGAAACCCTGAATATCAAGTTAGTTTAGTAATTATCCCCCTCATAGCGCCAAGTTTATCATACTATAACCTACCCCCCCAAAAGAACCCTATATTGTCCAGATATCCGGAGCCCAAATCTCAGATGCATAGCATATTCGATTCAGAGTTACACGCGAGGACTTTCGGCACTACCCATGCAGTGTTCTGGCCGCGAAAGCGTACTGTCTTGTTGGGCGTAAAGGATCAGGTCTCAGATCCTTGAATACACTATCAAGCGGCAAATCGACTCATTGCCGGTTAGCCAGACCTATCGTTAGCATGGAGATCTTCCTGGGTTCTTGTTAAGGAACTTAATTTAAGTTACCATAATAAGGAAACCCTATTATTTACGATAGATCCCTATTATGGTAACTTAAATTAAGTTCCTTAACAAGAACCCAGTTGTAGTGAGGCTTGTTCGTACCGGTTCGGGCTTTAGGGCTACGGGTTTCAGGCTCATCTAAGTCCTATGACCTATGGTTTCGGGTCTAGCGTCGTCTTAAGGATTTCCAAAGCTCTGAGGCTCATCTAAGTTCTATGCTCTCGGGTCTAGCGTTTACCATCGTCTGAGGGAATTCCGAAGCTCAGTTTACACGGGCTCCTGCAGAAACTCATCCCACCAGTGAAGGCTCTCCTTGAAGAAATGAAACTCCTCCATAATGTACACCTCTGACGAACAAACGCCTTTTCTGTCAGGTCCTTCCTCTATAGTCGGATACTGCTATAGGTTCAAGGAACAGGAATGTAGACTTCACACCTATACCCTCAATTCAAAGCTCTCGAAATCCAAATACCATACCTCCAAAGCCTAGACCACATGTGGCCAGCGGACTTGCAATCGCTCGTGGGGCTCTTGCAGCCGATTCGACACAACAGGCTTTTTGAACTTCCGCTACTTCAATACCGTGCAGTACAGGGTTCCAAACAGATTTTGGTAACCAAGCTTGTATAAGCCGTCGCAACGGAACTTCCTTTACTTTAGTGTCAAGTTGTACTGCATATGAAAAGCTATCTGGGGGTTTGCCCCCTTAGAACCCTAATAAAAATGATATGTTTAATATTCTCTTGGGTTTTATATTCACAGAAATACCAAATAATTCCTAAGGAGACTGTAGATAACAGAGGACTCCAATGTGATGCACATGCAACCCCTCGGCTGTCTTAGCACCATTTCCTCCCGGCTCTTCCTTCCCCTTGGCACAAAACACCCTAAACCCTAAACCCTGAAACATTCTGACAGAGCCCTTATGAAATCCGTACATAAAAAAGAGGTCCTGAAACCCCGCAAACAATGCTATTGAGAGGCCAGCAAGTAGCAAGAAGCAGCCTGTCTTGAGAAAAGGCCCGCCAACGGTCCCTTCGTAGGAGGACGTGGGCAGCGCCACATCTTTTTAAGGTATCCTTAAGGGAGGGGGGTCCAAGGGGGGTATATAGCCTAGTGATCCCTAATTCTCCCTAGGACTCCCTAAGGTTCCCTTACAGTCCCCAAACAATTCCTTATACCCTCCCCCCTTGAACCACCCTCCCTAAAGGATCCTATAAACATCTTTGGCAGCTCTTTGAGCTTCGAACCACGGCCCCTCTTGACCTGCCCAATGCCTCCCAGAAAACGGGCTTAGGCCGAAAGGTTTAGCGTTTAGAGCGGTTTAGGGTATAGCGTTTAGGATTAGGACTGAAGACCCAAATTCAAGCCAGAATCCCGAAACGAAACCCCCTCGAAATTTTCCTGAAATCCATGCTTCGGGTGGGTTTGGGGCTACAGCTTAAACAGCTAAGGCCCAACACAATGAGTTGTTCCTAAAACCCTAGAGCCCTACACCCCCAAATTCGAAAAGGCCCAGGCATGGACAACTCGAGGGTCCGGTTTAAAAAGAAGTGGAGTACTCAACAAATACTCCTGGACGCCCATGAAAACACAGACCTGCACCGAGCTTGGCCTAATCGAAGAATAGTGAAACGCGCTTCTATTTGCAGCAGTATCGTGATTGGCCATGTGAAAAACATCAGCCAGGATCATAGGAATTATGATCACCGATATGATCACCGATAGACACAAGTACTGCCACCGCCACCGCCACGGCAACTACCACTGCTACTACTGCTACAGCTACTGTTACCGCTCTACCACGACGACGGCGACCACGAAAACGACGATGACGACTACTCTTATGTAGTTCTTGTCGTCGGCATGGTTGGCTGTTGCTGTTTTCATTGCTGCCATCCGTGATCGCTTTGGTGGCTGCCAAGCTGAAGCAACGAATAGTACTGATGACAACAAGAAGCAAGATAAATCAAACATTACCAGCACGAGTAACCAGAATAAGGACATCTGAGTTACTGAGAAGGCATTGGGCTTATGCCAACCTGGTAGTAACGACGACCCTCTCAATGGTTTCTACAGGTTCGGCAGTCGGACTGTAGGAAATACATGGCAGTCTGCCCAGTCACTGAGTTGACCTGATAATTGAGTCTGGAAAAAAGTGAACCCACAACGGGTAAAAGGTTGCCTAAACCCTTACCTTTTTGGGGTTCCTTAATATCATTTCTTTCTACAAGTCATAATTAAGGAATTTGGTGTCAAGGTTGGCCCTAAATCGACTATGACTCCGAGTTTCCGAAACTTTAACCGGAGAAAGGTTGGCCCTAAATCGACTATGACTCCGAGTTTCCGAAACTTTAACCCGAGACTCTCACAGCACAGGTCTTCGAGGGTGTCCTGACAGTTTACCCCAAGATGCCGCGCTTTGCTGGACACTTTGCGAAAGGGTGTAAGACTGAAGGGATCTTCGGTTTTCGGTACTTGCGAGGTCTAGGGTTCTGCTCCCCCAATATCGTAGCTTTGAAACCTGAAAACCCTTCCTCTAACCCAAACCCGGCAAGGCATTGTTAAGGACAGGTCAGCACTGTTCAACCTGAAATTATAAACCCCAGACACGAAACCCCCGAGCCCTACATAAATGCCATGAGTCCTGGGCCGGAAACCCTCAAGTAAACCAATACTTGGAGGTTCATGGGTAGTCATAAGTGGGGTTGAAAGTCCCCCAATATTGGCTTTAAGTATAGTTACCCTACTTATAACCCTACTTATAACTACCCATGAACCTCCAAGTACACCCATTCTAGACTCTATCTGAGTACAGTGTGTTGAGCCTCCAAAACCAAGCGGGACGTCGCGTGTTTCTGAGGAAAAACTACATGGCCTTGTAGTTATAGAGGGGCTTGAACGGTTTACTTTTAAGCGCTAACTATTCGGGCCTCTGTGTTGAGGTCGAGGGTTTATTTAGGGTTAAGAAGCGGCTACGGTCGAATGACCATCCCTGGAAAAAAACGGAATAGGAGGACCGATGCCTGCAATCGCGACACTACTAGTATTATCCAGTGATCCATGAACTAGTCTGCAGAAATCTTGCCCTAAACCCTAAGCCCCAAACTCGTCAAAGCCCAAAGCCCTAAGCCCTAAACCCCGTAAAGCCCAAAGCCCTAAACCCCATAAAGCCCTAAACCCCGTAAATAAGCACAAAGCCCAAAGCCCTAAACCCCATGAAGCCCTAAAGCCCGTAAATAAGCCCAAAGCCCTAAAGCCAAAACCCATATAAACTCTCAGCGCGGCACCTTTAACTCGCCACACACCGACTTCAAACACCTTGAAGATGACCAAAAGCCGCTCACTTGATGAAGAGCTTCGTGGCAACACCTTGGCGTATTAGGCTTTAGGGTTTAGCAAACACTACCCCCATACGCCTCAACAAAGAGAATTGGAGGGGCCTTCACATCAGTAGACTCGACGAGCATGTTCTTGAAGGGGGTAGATGATATATTGTCTATGGTTTTTTATCGTAAGAGCCCTGAGGAATACGATGGGGAAGTAGTCAAGCCCCTCAAAAACCTCTGGACCCTCGTCTGAAGAGGAGCCGAGTCGCTTTGTGGAACGCCCTTGAACCTCCCCGAAGCGCCCATCTGCGCCGGTTGAGGTTGTGCGGCGACTGGAGCACGTCCTGCGGTTTGAGGGTTTATCTTAGTTGCTGAGCTCATAAGCACCCAAGAAGTGTACGCTTTATGTTTTTGTAGTGGGTAGTATTATACCCAAAAAGTGTAAAGTGTATCCGCTCAGCTACTAAGTTATGGTTGGGGCGGGCAGGGGCTTTCTCAGATTCCATAAATCCTGCGTGCCATCTACACAACACAATGAAACAGCCACATATGGGTGGTTGTCAAAATTGTGGTCCCTCTGTGGGTCCTTAATGTAGTACAGCACCTAATATTTAGGGTACCCAAAAAGGGACCCTAATTTTGACAACCACCCATATGATACATCCAGGCATTGCTGGGGGGATCCCTTCCACACACGCATACCAACAAGCAGATCTTGGACAGCCACCTTATCAGGTTTACGGTTAAAGCTTTGGAGTGGTGTTTAAGGCTTCAGGGTCTTAAGCGGTTTCTCTTGCACACTGCGACGAATTATCCAGGATTTGTCAGGACTGGGGTTTGGGGTTTCAGGTGAGGATTGACACGACTTGCAGAGGTCCAGCAGGTAGCTGCCCGAAGGAAATGCGAAATGCAGCTTCAGCAGCAAGGGGGATAGAGCTACAGGGGCCTGGATGCTTGGTAAACCTCGCAATGAAGAGTTCTTGTTACAATCAGCTGAAGCTGCCACGGCACAGCCACCAAATGGGCTGAACCATGCTAAACCCGTCGTTCCCTAAACTTTACCTTAACCCCATAACCTACTTTTCAAGGATTTATATAAAGAAATCATATCAGGGAACCCTAAAAAAGGAAGGTTCCTTAGGGTCCAGGAAGTATCACAGGAAGTGCCCGCCGACGTACCAGAGCTCATCACAATAGACCCAGCCAAAGGGTCCAAAGTACCGATATAGTAGAACGTAGGGCTTCTTTTTTGGGAATTACTATTATGATTGGGGGAAGTACTTAAAGGGTCATGGGACTTAGTAACTGGGGTTATTATTAGGGTAACTATACTTATAACCCCAGTTAGGGTACTTATAACCTTACTTACTAAGTCCCATGATCCTCCAAGTATTCCCCATAACAGTACCTAGGACCCCTTGGGGCAGCACTCCTGGGGTCACAGCCCGGCCGTTGAGAGCACAAGGCACGTTGCTCAGACTTGCGCCGCCTGCAGGGTGGGCGGTTGTCAAAATTAACCTTTAAAGGGATCCTTTAAGGGTTCCTTAAAGGGATCTATAAGGGTTCTATAAAGGGTTTAGGGTTTAGAGTTTCCGAGAATTAGGGGGTACCTTATTTAGGGGTCCTTATAAGAAGGGTCCTACTATTTAGGGCACTATATTAAGGTCCCCTATTCTGGTTATGTGTTCATGGGTGGTTATCAAAATGATGGTCCCCTTTGGGGTCCCTGATGTAGTAGGGCACCTAATATTTAGGGTACCCAGAAAGGGACCATAATTTTGTCAACCACCCATGTGTTACGTCTTAGTCGGAAATAAGGAATATACTTTAAATCATGCTAGTAGCTGCTATGGATCCTATTATGGTTTAAGGTATATGGGATTTCTTCAAAGGGGCGAGGGGAGGCGAGGTGCTGTGGAGGTGGTGGAGGTGATGGAGGCAAAGGTTAGGTGGAGGTGAAACTGCCGGCCAGTGCCTGAGTGAGTGAATGCACGGTGCGCCAGTGAGCAAAGGGTCGCGAAAGTGAATTGCATGACGGGGTTCTTGTGAAATGAGGTAATCTAAGTTACCATAACAAAAACACAATAGTATTGACAAAGGGATCCTTAAAGGGATCTATAAGGGTTCTATAAAGAACTTAAGGAATCTACCTTAGGGTTCCTTAAAGTGATCTGTAGGGTTCTATGATGGAATTGCGGAATCAAGCTTCGAGTTCCTTCACGGGTTCCTAAAAGGGATCTTTTGGGTTTAGGGTTACAGAAGAAGCCTAAAAGTTGGAAACCCACTAGCCTCTATCCTTAAGAGTAATGTTTAGGGAATCCCAGCACTATTTGGCCTTAAAACGGTTTCCAACTTTGCGGGGATAACTGTATATAAGGGTTTAGGGGATTCCAATACCCTTTCAGTAAGGAATATCTCTTAAATTATGGTAGGATCCCTAGCATGGTTTAAGGTATATATTACCATAATCAAGGGATATTGGAGTGTCTGGGTGCCTGACCTGCAGATTGTGCAGATACCTGTCGCATCATCATGCACCGGTCCTGGGGACGCGTCGGCTTCTAAACGCTCCTTTCGGGGCTTGGGCAAAGCGTTTTCGGAAAGGAGAGAGAGTGAGCGAAAGAGAAAAGAGAGAGAGGGAGAGGGATAGCGAGAATATGAGCTTTGGGGCTCAGTGTCTGTGCATACGTTCTTTCTGGCATGTTTCTTCGATATTGCACATACTGTTACTAGTTTCGGGTCTGCAGTTAGAACAGGATTGAAAGAACAGTCTTGGTACAGCCTTGGAACAGCATTGACTCCCGTGCGCGTCCTCGGCACCCCGCCTCCCAATCCCCCTCCGCTATCAGCCACTCGAACGTTTCCAACCAGTTCTGCCCCTCAGACCCCACGGCTAGGATTTAGGGTTGAGGGTTCACAAAACAGAACCGCATAAGCCAGCCACGCCAACCCCTGAAAGATCAGCTCAGGTCTAGCAGAGTTGGTCAAACAGCTCTAAAGCGGTGTAGGGTTCAGGAAGTTGCGACGTGTGTATTGTATATATAAATATGTAAATATATAAATATATATATATATATATATATACATATATATATATATATAATTATGTATATATATAATATATATATATATATATATATATATATATATATATATATATATATTATAGATACACACACACGCACTTGTTCACATGACCTATCACCGCGCACATCTATATGTGTTCAGTATGTATACAAGCAAAAACACGAATACATATGCATAAGAAAACATTGGACGAGACGTAAACTATTTTGTTTAAAGCGCTCTAGATCCACCACATAGCTGCGAACTGTGTGTCGGTATTTACAGACAAGCTAGATCAGTACACGTTTTGATGTCATGCCTTCTATGTACTCCCTAGCCCCGAAACCAAATCCCATAAACCCTAAATCTTTCTTAAATCCTACACTCTATAAACCCTGCACGATAAAAACCCGTAACTGCAAACCCTAAACCCTCAAGTTGAGAACCTGAAACTCCAACACTTAAACCCTGAGGGCCTTACAGTGAGCCCTAAGCCCTAAACTCCCCACCCACAATCCTCAACTCTACACCCCCCAAACCCTGAAAGATAGGCTCAACCCCCAACCTTAAACCCGAAGCCCCAAAAGTTCTGCCCAACCCTATAAACCCTGAAACCTCAACCCTACAGTTGCAGCCCGGCCCAACCTTGAACCCTGTGCTAAACCCCTACACTTCAAATCCATAAAGGCCTTCGACCCCTAAAGGCCCTAAATCCCTAAACCCCCCTAGAAGTGAGGCCCAAGCCAGTTCAGCTGTGAGGTTTGCAACCTCGACAGCATCTTCGAGATTAGGCTTCTTGTAGCCACCGGTACCTGGCGTCCCAGGGACTCTTATAGTAGGAGCCCTAAGATGATTCAGGGTACATTGTATCCACCGGTACCTGGCTTTGGGACTGTTTGGGCATTTTTATTTTGAGGGTCTATGGGGTTTATAGGATTTACAGGGTTTTAGGGTTTTGAGGAGGTTTAGGGTTTGAAGGTCTAGGGACCTGGCTTCCCAAAGACTCCAACATCCCTTAATTCAGGAATATACCTTAAATTACAGTAGGATCCCGAGTATGATTTAAGGCACATTCCGTACTTAGCGGAGTATTGGAGTACCTGGCTTTGGAATTTCTAGGGTTTTCGAGTTTACGTGTAGGGTTTGACGGGGTTTAGGGATTGACATAGGGTTGAGGCTTATCAGCTGTGGGGGAGACCAATACTACAGTAGCACCAGCGGAAGCATGCACGTTATCGCCACAAGCAGGACGACACCGACCACGAACAGCACTACTATCACTATCAGCAGTAGTAGCAGTAGTAGCAGTAGTAGTAGTAGTAGTAGTAGTAGTAGTAGTAGTAGTAGTAGTAGTAGTAGTAGTAGTAGTAGTCTACTAGTACTACTACTGCTGCTACTACTACTACTGCTGCTACTACTACTACTACTGCTACTACTATTCTACTACTATATTTCTACAACAAGCAGGACCGGGACTACCTGAGAGGGGAAGGGTCAGCACGCAAGGTGACCCAAACCTCCAAGAACCATTGGCCTTGTAGCCCTAGAGCCCCCCAACTACCTTCAAGTACCAACATGAAGGACTATAAGGGCTTTATTAAAGGGCACTTCGGGGGTCCTGGTAGCCCTACACCCCCTTGATACGCTTTGTACAACCCCTGCGCCTCCGGCTTTTGCAGGTGATGCGGGTGAGGTCGGCGCCTCAGTTTCTAGCTCGGGGCTGAACGTTTGGGGCTTCGGGTTTGGGGTTTGTCTTGTGGCTCTTTCAGGATTTGATGTGGTTCTTCCTGAAAGCTCAGAAGTTATGGGGTCAAAGGGGGCTTTTACCGCAAACCTTCAATCCCGAACCCCTAACGCTTCAGAGCCATATACGCCTCTACCCGAAAACCCTCAGTGCTTTAGAGCCCCTAATATAGGGGCCTTAATAATTAGAAGAGGGTCTTGGGGCCCACTATACCATACTTATAATTAGTAGGGGACCGCCAAAATAGTATTGGTAGTAATTATTCAGGCCCCTGTCCTAAACCCAAAACCCTATAATGGATCCCTTAAAGGAACCCTCCAGGAACCTTGTAAAGGTAGTTATTTAAACCCCTTTAGAAACCTTTCGCGCTGTAGAGCTCCATAGACGCCTCTAGGAAAGTGCCGGAGCCATCAGCCCAGATGCGCCAGAGGAAGGCGGCTGGCGCTGCTGCATCGGCCTTTCAGAAAGGCCGACGATTGGAGATCTATGTACATATATATATATATATATATATTACTATATATATACACACACATTAAAGTAGTTATGTGTATATATATATATATACACATCTATCGTATATGTAGACATCACTTTGTAACGTGGAAGTGCACTGAACGGTCTTATGGGCTCTTTCGAGTGCTACAGGGTTCAAAGTCTGGGACACCCGGGAAAATATCTGCGGCCGGAGTTGGCGAAAGAGCTGCAACCAAAGAAAGAAATGGATGATCTAATCCCCGTCGTGAAGGCATACAAAAAATCGGGCACTGAACCGGAGGCACCAGAGCCTGTAGATCCTAGACCAAAAGCCCGAATACTTGAGGCTATCCGAACGCGTTCTTGCAGTCAAGTCGTGTTGTGGCATACAGTGGCCAACAGCTCAAGCTTTGAATTCTCAAAACGGTGCATTGCATCTTGGAACTCATTCCATGTTTGGCTCCAGTATTTCTTGGAGCAAGATTATCATTTTAATTCCAACGAAAATCGCTACTAGAGTCTGGTCATATCGTGCAAGCGGCCCTAAACACAAGACCCCACATCACCAAAGCCCGCAACTCTCTCTGTTCCTGCAGAAGCTGAAAGCTTCAGCAACCCCTCGTACGCCACAGCCCCTGTCCAACAATCCACACCATAAACCCTGTAGTATACTCCGTATGCCGTATACCCCCAACTCCTTTGCCGTAGCACGTAGACCCCAAAACCCCAAGCCCCAAAACACCAACTACGACCCCAAACCCAAATACCAACCCTGAACCATGCTCAAAAACATCTCTAAAGCTCTACAGTAATGCCCTAGAACCCTTCACATCAAACTCCATTGGAACCCTAAAGAGCCATCCACCTCATGAACCCCTGAGTCGCTGAAACACAATGGCTCCTAAGATCCCCTGATGCCCCAAATAAGCGCCACCACGTCACGTCTCTGCTCTCTGGCCCGGTAGAGGAGGTTCCGGAGCCGTGTGCGTGGTCGGGGTGGGCCGGCTCCAGGGAGAGGGGCGCGTGCCATGCCTGGATTAGGGTTTTACAAAAGAGTTTCTGACCGGAGGGAGGCTTTGCAACGGCTTTTATACAAATCTTGCCAAGGCCTATCAAGTCAAGGGCTTTACAAGACATTTTTACGGCCATCTAATGGGCTTCATCTTGCAATTACCTACATGCGTTGTAGGGTCTAGGTAAATGCACAAGTTTTGCGACGCAGGGCCTTGTGCAATTGCGCTTGTGCCCTGTCAACTCTTTGCAAGACTTTTTCAAAAGCCAAACATCTTCGGCTTCACGCGACTTCTAGTCGAACGGCAACATGCTAAGACACACTCAAACCAGGTCGCAAAATTACGTAACAAAACTAATGTATTGGACGACTCTGCATGTTTCGGTTACGGTGGTCATTAGCACGAACGAACACTTATAAACTACCCACCTCCAAGGAAAGCACCCTTAAACCCCATACCCTTATAGAATCCCTATAGATCCCAAAAGAGAAGCCCTTAAAGGAACCCTTGCAAAGGAGCCCCTTTAAAAAGAGCCCTCTTTGCTTCGCGGCTGCTGCGGCTCTGAGGGCGCCGGAGGTGAGACTTGCCGGTTCCAGGGCGCGGCCCGCGGCGTCCTCGGTCGAAGGGTTTTCTTTTTTGGGGCCTTTTAAGGGGCTTTAAGGGTGACTTTGAAGGTTTTGTGGGGCATTTTGGGGCTTGAAGGGTTTTGTTGGGGCTTTTTTTCAGGCTTTGAGGCTGTAGTGCTTCGAGGGTTTAGGACTTTGAGGATTTTGGTTAGGGCCTTTAAGGGGGCTTTAAGGGTTTAGTGCTTCAAGGGTTTAGGACTTTGAGGGTTTTGTTGGGGCCTTCAAGGGGGCCGTTCAAGGCTTTAGAGGTTTGGGGCATTTTGGGCTTAGGGCCTCGAGGCAGCTTTGGGGCTTAAGGGTTTTAGAGTTGTTTTTTGAATGCCTTTTGGGGACTCTTGGGAATTTTTACAAGGATTTCAAGCAGGATGTGATTCATGATCTCATCGAGGATTCCGCCGGGAGATCCATTAAGGGATTCTGTAAAGGTTCCACAAGGGCTCAGCGGCTGAGGGTTAAGGATTGCAGGGGTTAGGGCTAGAGTTTGGGATGTTGGCGTTTGGGGCTGTCGCACTTCTTTCAAGCTTCCGTATGGATTTCGAAAAAACAAGAAACCTTCACACGGACTGTAGAGATTCCGCTGTTGCAAAGGGGTGTTCTAATTACAGTTTATTGTGGCTACGGCTTATACAAAACTACAAGCGATGGTTATTCAGTTGGGGCTCCTGAGCGAGAATTCCTCCATAGATCTTGAAGGAGCCACCATCAACCGCAACCTACTCCATTGTAGTTCCTTTTTTGGTTTAACCAATTTAATATTAAGGATCCTAAAAGGCAACCCCAAAAAGGAACTACGATGGAGACTACAGGTAGCTTCAGGAATTGGGATTCCGGGGCCTCGCCGTGATAAACCAAGCGCAGCAGTGCCAAAATTGAGGTTCCTGATTTAACGAGCAACCTGAAATTCAAAAGCACCTGCGGCCTAAAAACTCTAAACACCTGGAAATACTTCAACCCCAACACACACTATAACCCCCTTCAAAACAAACTGATAACGCACTGACACCCCCAAACTCTGTAACCCAGGAGCCTCAACCGTATCTGAGATTCCTAAACGCCCCTCAACACCAGCAAGGAAACGCCGAAATCCGAAACGCCTCGAACCCCAGATCTCTGAACTTGCCTGAGGGTCCATGCACTCATATAGTATATGGGTCCTTTAAGGGTACCATAAGGGATCCTTTAAGGGATCTATAAGGGTTTAGGGTATAAGGGTCCACGTACTCATGTAGTATATACATTGGCCTTAACGTAGTCCCTATACAGGTACTTTGGGGCTCATGTATATACTATATGGGTACCCTGGGACCCCTAGGGAAATTGCAAGATCCAAAGGGCGTTTGGCTCATGTCCGGCTTCGCCGGAGCCTGAGTTGCACCCATCGCAGGAACAGCGGCGGAACCTGTGGAAGTAAGGGCCACGGAGGCTGTTAGGGTCTGGGGACGTAATGTAGGGGGCCTTAATGATTAGAATAGGTTTGGGGGGCCCATTATACTATAGTTATAATAAGGACCCCCCCCCAAAAAAAAATAGTATAGGTAGTTATTTAGGGCCTATATTACGGCTTAGGAACTGCTTCGTAAAGGGTTTTAGATGGGAGCTAGACAGGTTCGTTCTGCTATCATAGGAGCCTCAATCAGTATTGCAGGTTTCGGGGTTCGTTCTAACATAGGTTTATCGGGCCATCACGGGATAATTTGACAAACTGTTCGGACCCCTATATTAACCTCGGGGTATATACTGAATGACGTTACGTCCAAGCTATCGAAATGGATCGATTGCGATGGTGGATTGAATAGACAAGCCCTCAATTCGCCACGAGGTGTTCTTCGAATCCTTACAGCCGTCGAAAAACTGGTCAAGGGAGCTCTTCACCTATTGTAAGGGTCTCAGTCTGATTAGTGCGGGGTCACCTAAGTACCAAGCTTAAAAATACGTGATTGAGGCACCAAAACTCGTTTTGGGGGTCCCCTACTTATGAAAAGCTTTTCCGACCCAGCTTTTTGTAGGGAAGCGCGGCTCCCTTCAAGGCACGATGGCTTGGCTGTCGGATGAGGCGAACCCTAAACTCTGAACCCCAAATCCTTGAAGTAAATCCCAAAACCCAAAACGCTAAGGCACCCTAAGCCCTCAAATATCAGCGAACAACACAGAGACAACCTAAACTAGGGGCCCTAATAATTAGAATAAGGTTTGGGGCATATTTTACTATAGTTAAATACGGAACCCCCGAAACCCGATTCTAGTTATTCAGGCCCTGCAATAGATGCTTATAACAGCCAACATTATCATAGTAGCCCTTATAGACCCTCTAAGAGGGACTCCTATTCAAGTCTTGAAGGCCCCTACATTAAACGAGTTAGGTACTGCCCCCATACAGTAATAGTCTATAATAGGGCTACTAGTAAGGTCCTAATATATCTATATTATGAATATTATTCAACTATTACTGAGTGGGGGCCGTACCCAACCTTTGAGCATCTGGCCTCCTGCCGGCCGAGTACCAGGACGATCGAAGGAGCCGGGATGTGTGCCAGCGGCCGGAGGCCTTAGAGATGGGCTCTTGTTACGTGGAGGGTCGGGGGACTTAGTAAGTAGGTAGTAAGTAGACTTATAAGTACCCTAAAAGGGACCCTAATTGGGGTTATGGTACTTATAACTCCCTAAAATATCCAGTTACTAAGTCCCCCGACCCTCCAAGTAAGGACTTCGGTTTAGGGCTCCTTTAAGGGATCTATAACGGCTCCTTCACGGGATCTATAACGGCTCCTTCAAGGGACCTAGAAGGATTCCTTTAGGGGGTATAGAGTTGAAGGTTTAAGTTACCATAATAGGCATCTATGGTAGATGCTACCTTAACCCTGAAGAACCTACCGTTTTAGGGATCCTTATTATGATTTCCTTAGATAAGTTCTCAAAAAAGTAAGATATTCAGGGTTATGGCATGGCTTCTTGATTATGGTAGCTTAAGTTAAACTCCTTAAGAAGAGCCCAGTTGAAGATAGGGGCTTTAGCCGTTCCTTACAGGCACACTACACGGGGCGACTAAAAGAGCTACTTAAGGGTTCTATGATATGACGCCTTAGGGCTTATAGGGTTGTAGGATAAAGGAGTTTGGGCTTCAGGGCATGGAGCTTTCGGGCTTTTTCTGCGTGCATTGCTACATGCATGCTTACATACGTATGCATGCGCGTGGGTATATGCAGCTGGGCGTGTCCAAGCGCTTGAGCTTTCGGGCTTGTGCCGACTTGTCGGGTAGCATGGGGAACTAAAGATTAACCTTTTCGGCTATACAGGGATTATTAGGGTCTATGCTACCCCAAAAAAGCTAAAGGTCTCCTACTCTACTGCTAGGCGTGGGCAGCAAGGATGTGGGGTTCAAGTCTCGGGCTTCGGTGTTCCGAAAGATCAGATCGGCTCAAGATTGCCCGGGGTATTGCGCCCCGTTGACTCGTCACCTCCAGGGCTATCACGCAAGTAATAATTAGAATAGGGTTTGGGGGTATGTTATACTAGAATTACAATAAGGAACCCACACAACAGTAGTGGTAATTGTGAAAAACCCAATACTACAAGGTTTGGGACTTCGAAGTTCGAGGGTTTCAGGATTCTGGGGGACGAGGTTCCGGGCTCTGTGGAGTGTAGGGTTAGTCGGGGTATTTAGTATTAAGGGAAAGCGAAGAAGGAACCCTGCAGAATACTATTGCTCAAGTATTCAGGCTTCTATACTCAACCCTCAACCCTAAACCCTAAACCCTAAACCCTACCCTAAACCCTAAACCCGAAACCCTCAACCCTGAGCCCAAAGCGCACAACTCAAAACCCCCTTTATTTCTAGAGCCCCCAACTGCCCTCTAATATACCCCAAAGACCTACTATTAATGGCCATAAGGGCTCCATTAAAGGGCCCTTGGGGGGTCCTGGTTCTCCATCAAAGTAACCCTTGAGCTATAACGGCTACTGCCCGCTAGTATCCCTTCTATTATATTGTATCCCTCATACAAAGCCCTTATAGTCTCCATTATCGTAACCCCTCACCCTAAACCCCTAAACCCTAAAACCTAAACCCCAGATGGCTTTAAAGGAACCCTAAACACCTTGTAAGTAGGGTAGATATATTTATAACCCATATTAGGGGACTTATAACCCCACGTATAACTACCCGTGAACCTCCAAGCAGCATCCATTATCGTTACCCCACACCCTAAACCCTAAACCCCTGAACCCTAAACCCTAAAACCTGACCCTTCCAGATCCCTTTAAAGGAACCCCTAAACCCCTGAGCTACGGCTACTGCCCAAGGCACTCCATTGGAGGCCCAGGCGTCGCAGATGTCTTGGCTCCTGAAGAAAGCGCTTGTCAATGTCTTTCTGCGGGTCAGGGTTGAGGGTTTAGGGTTTAATATATAGGGTTGAGGGTTTAGGGGTTAAGGTATAAGGGTTGAGGGTTTAGGGTTTAAGGTACAGTGAAAATACTGTATAAGAACCCACTGTTTAAGAACCTGAGCCCCTACCCAAGGCGGAATTCACCAGATTCAAGTTGCCTCAATATTAAGAACTTTAGGGTACCCTAGTTTTTCGGGTCAGGTTCTTAATTTTTTGGGTGCTTTCCCTCACCAAGGAAATTTAGAATCGAAAACTAAAATTTCCCAACCTTCCACATCAAGAAATCTTGTGCCCAAACATGAGGATTGTATGATCGATGAGCAACGGCAATCATGCCACAGCGCGGTGGTTGTGCATGGGTTCTGGAAGCAAATGTTCGTGTCTCGATCCCCAGGGGGGCGAGAATCTGAAAATTTAGAATTGAAATCTAAATTTCCGAGACCTATTCCACCGAAACAAAGCCTTGCCACCCAAACGTGGAAATTTAGAATTGGAATCTAAATCTTCTACACCAGCCCCTCCCTGGCCCTGTGGTCTCCGACCCACACAAACGGCATCAGGAAATTTAGAATCCGAAAGTAAATTTCCGGCCTCCAAACCACAAAAACCCCTCGCCCAGTTAGGAGGGGACCAAAATCAACCTAGCACAGCTCCCCTGTAGCGCAGTGGTTCTGCATAGACCCTGCTCCGGGAGGTCTTTGTTTCAATCCCCGGAGGTGTCATGCCGCTGCGGGGTGCCTACCCGCAGCTCGTATTCCACTGAAACAGAGCCCCTTGCCACCAAACTGTGGAAATTTAGAATTGAAATCTAAATTTTCCACACCAGCCTCCTGGTCCCCGGCCCAAGCCACACCCATGGCCCATCCACCCCCACAAGGAAATTTAGAATCCAAAAGTAAATTTTCTGGGGGTCTCTGGCCATGCCCTCTGCCCCGAGTCCTTCGAGGAGCTGTGGAAATTTAGAATTGAAAACAAAATTTTCCAGACCCCCATGGCCCATCCACCCCCACGGAAATTTAGAATCCAAAAGTAAATTTTCTGGGGGTCTCTGGCCATGCCCTCTGCCCCGAGTCCTTTCGAGGAGCTGTGGAAATTTAGAATTGAAAACTAAATTTTCCAGACCCCCATGGCCCATCCACCCCCACAAGGAATTTTAGAATCCAAAAGTAAATTTCCCGAGACCTCGGTCCGGATAAGAACGTGGTTAAGAACGTGAGCCTACCCTAGCTGCTCGAACTGCAAAATCACATGTAATGGAAATTAAGAACCTTAGGGTACCCTACTCTCGCCGAGCGGGGTTCTTATACAGGGTTTTCACTGTATAGGGTTTAGGGTTTAAGGTATATAGGGCAGAGGGTTTAGGGTTTAGTCTTTGGGGTATGGGGTTTAGGGCAGGGTTTACGGCCGTTACAAGATATTAATAACGGTAAGACCTACGCCTGAAACGCTGTACTCTATACCCTACACCCACCCACCCCTACACCTGAGCTCGAAGCCCTGAACTCTGCACGTCGTGTTTCGCTTTATCATGTCTGTCTTCATCTCGCTTGTTCCAAGAGAATCTGCGCTTTATTTGTTGCTTGCACCGGGCGTGTGTGGGGGGTGTTTTTGCTTTTCATGTTTTGTTCAGCGCTCCATGGTGTTTGGATGTTTTGGGGGCATTCGCCGTGCAGCGTTTGATTATTTGAGGTGGCCTTTGGGAGATTCTTTGGGGCTTCGTGCAAAACGCGGAGAGCATGCCTGGGCTCAGAAAGTCCCTGTGAACCAACACTTTTTCGCCGCTATGTGGGAGTTTCCGAAAATTAGGGGTACCTTATTTGGGGTTTCTTGCCATAAGGATCCTACTGTTTAGGGTACTACATTGCGGTCCCCTATTTTCGGAAACTCGCAAGTGCAAGAACACGCGGGCAGCATGCTAGGGACACTCGTCGAGCGTGCACGGCCCATACTCGGTGCTGCTGGAGCTGCAGCCAAGACCCTCAGTTGCACGCTGGTCTGGTTCCTCACGACGACATATATAATAAACACACATATATGCATGAGCGAGAAATAAATGGGTGTACCTAAACCCTGAAATCTCCAGAATCCCGAGTCCCACCAATACCAAGAAACACTATTTGCAGCTCACGGCACGCCAATCCCAGCCAGCCCCGGGTGCCGTCGTCTTCGCTGTGTCCTCGGATTTTGATTCTCGGAAATTTTGTGGCTTTAGGGGTTGAGGGTTTGGGGTTTAGGAGTTGTGGTTTGGGGTTTAGGGCTTCGGGTTAAGGGTTTAGGGGAAGAGCGGTTTAGGGCATGATAGGGCTTTGGGGCTTGAGGCCTATGGGGCATGTAGCCAAACGCCGCAACCCAAACAAGCGAATCTTATGTCTAATTAATCAGAAGAGATCAACAAAGTAAGGAAGGTTGGGTACTGGAGCACATCGGGGAATTAAGCAAATCAGAAAGAGCCCCTCTGCTTGTGTGCCTTGGATTGCCTTTGTAGGCCCTTGAGACAGCCTGCCCCCAAGACTCTGCTGCTGACTTCGCCATCGTGGTTTTGCCTCGGAAGTGGCTTCGCTTGACGGGCCAGGCTTCAGGATTTGCGGTCCGAAGCATATATGTCAGAAGCTGCCCCACCCTGTAATAGTGACTATAAGGATTATACCGGGGCCCTATTATATTCCTATTATACCACTATTACAGGGTGGGGGCCCCTTCTAACTGATATGCGCGTCTCACTTAAGTTCACATCTCACGGCTTCGGGATTCCTATTCTGAGTTTAGAATCTGGGCTTTATAAATTTAGGGTTTGGGGTCTGGGGGTCGATGGTCCAGAGGTAAGGCGTTAGGGCAGGGATGCAGACGTTACTTGGATACCTGTCTGCTTCCAACTTTCTTAAAAGCCTTCAACGCTATACCTATGGTGTTGCGACTGTATGATACAGTAGGGACCGGAAAGTAAAGCTCAGATAAATCACAGTACGACTGTCAAGTTGTACAGATCCGGCAGCGCTTTCGAAGTCTACACCACTTGCTTCCTCAATGCCCTAAGGAAAACATGACTGAACCGTTTGAGCAATCCTGAAAACTGATCTATTTCACCACTCCCTTTGTTCTCCCGAAACATCCAAAAGTCTAGTGTCACCTCAAGTCTCCGGTCTTAGGGAGAATATTGGCCGAATGCTGGTGGAAACGCTCATGCCAACACATAATTACATATCTGGTATATACATGGGTATTTGCATACACACATGTCTTTAGGCGTATAAATTTGCTAGGACTCAGCGAGTGTTGTGTATAAGGGAGCACTGTAAGTTGCCCATGAGCATAATAGATTGGAGACACTGTTAGGGTTATAGTTATAGGTATCGTGAACACAATTATAACTTAGTGATGAATATGACAAGTAGCACTAGCACTAGTTCCCAAAACCCTATGCTTATACCGACATATGCTAAGCCGCATGGATATCATTAGTTCATGAGGTCGCATTGTTTTGAATTGAGGCTACGACAGACAGAGAAAGGCTTCTGAGTCTTGGGACAGTAGCCGACATGTATATGTACATGTCTATGTCTGCGTACCTGTATATGTATATGTGCATGTGTCTATGTATGTGTAAGTTTATGAGTTACAAGTGGTGTATGTGTAGGTGCATGTGTTTGTGAATGTGCATGTGTACGTGTATGTATGCATGTATGTAAACAGGTGAAGTCCGTTACCGCCGCATATTTGGTGGGTTTAGGGTTTAGCCGTTATCGGACCTCGGACTTCTCAGCACACAACTGCCGACAGCATGACATTTTCTGCCTTACTTGTGGACAGCAATACATGGGAGATTCCGAACATTGGGGGTACCTCATTTTGGGGTCCTTATAATACGGATCCTATTATTTAGGGTACTACATTACGGTGTCCCCAGATTTTTGGCAACCCCGGCATCTTGCTCCATAATTTCAGATACGGCTCTCCAGCACCCTTTTCTTTAATTCCCGAGTCGTCCTTCTGGCTGCTCTTCCTCGCCGGTTTTCTACGATCCCGCCTCGACCCTGAAACCACATACCTTAAACCACTCTTGAACGCTAAATGGTGTATAACGTACACTCCTCTTCTTGCGGAGCGAGAATTGTGGGTCTTACGGGCCGAACGAAATTCCGAAAGGATGTATCCCGCCCATCAGTCTGCCGCTGTGACGCCGTCGCACATCGCTGCACCGTGGTGAGGGTCCTGAGCTTACGAACGCTATGCGTCTGTTCAATATGGCGGTCTCCCAACATGGCCGCATGTGGCTTCCCCCTTGGGCTAAGATGAGTGCATACTGCAAGGGCCTGTATTCCCAACAGTCCCTTCTATACAAGTGCTTTTAGACAAACTTCCATGTGGAAGCAGGGAGAAGAACGAGAACTATAAACCTAGTCTGTCTGGATGTGGGATTCACGGCTGGGGATCTAGGTTTAGATTTTGCTTCTAAGGTTGAGAATGCTGAGCGCATAGACAATTGAAGCTTTGGGTATGGGGGATTTCAGGGGCACGAGAATCAAACCTGAAGGGTCTTATCATCGTTTGTCTTTACTAATTTTAAACCCCAATATCCAAGAACTCCCATGCCGGGATAAGGCACGGCCGGCATGTTCATGCCGAACTTGCGCTTCAACCTCGCATATCCGTGGGCTAAGACGACGGGCTCTCGGGAGTAACCCTAAACCCCAAACCCTAAACTCAAAACCCTGCATCCCAAACCGCGCGGTTTAGGCTTGCGCAATGGGGGGTTTCGAGCTAGGCGTTCACGTTCAGGTTTCTTGGGTGCTTCAACTGCTCTGGGCTTCGATGACAAGAAGAAGGATCAGCATGCCAATCATAGTAGCTATCTCTCTTCATGTATCACCCGAAGCTGTTCTTCCGAGGACCCGGTGTTGTTCACTAGGTCTCGTAGAATTCAACAAAGATCGTGAATGTAAGGTGCCCAGCTGGATGCTATACTTGCATGTGCAGTATGTGGAGGTTCAGGGAACTTCGCAAGCAGGGTTATCAGCACTTTAATTGGGATGAGAACTAGACATGACGATAGTAACCTTACTTATGAGCCAACTTTCTAATTCCCTGAAACCTTAAACCCTACAAACCCCTGAACCCTAAACCCAACCTTAATCGTTTTAAGCAGCCGGTACGCTTCAGGTTCAAGGAACAGCTAGGAGCCTCCGAAAGCTTTCGAAATCCTTGCTAACTAGAATATGGGGGCCTTAACTTAATTATTTGAATAGGGTTCCTTTTAAGGGGTCCTTAAAGGCCCGCTATAAGGGCTATTCTAAGAATTCTATATTAGGGCCTTTGTGATTTGACTGGGGTTCCTTTACAGGGGTATAAGGGCCACTATACGGATTTCGTTTTGGGGCCTTAATAATTAGAATAGGGTTTTGGGGCCCCAGAAACTATAAACACAACACTGGTAATTATTTTGGCACCAATATCAGGGCTCTACCAATCGAAACGGATAACCAATAACAAGGAAACTACTTCGGGGAGTATAGGTGGAGTTTAGGTGGCTTCCAACAAGCAGACATGGCACTCTTGGACATCGTTCTCCAACGCAGTCATGTCCTTGCGCTGAAGCCAAAAACCGTCTTGAACTCTCAAGGCTTATCGCATAAGCTCCACAATACGTACATGAGCTATCTCCACCCCTACAAGCCCGAGTAACGAAGAACATGACGGTGGAGCTCTTGCAGCGGATCTTTCTGTTGTCTGCACATGTACATATTCCGTTGTCAGCTGAGTCTACTAGAGAATCACCTTGGAGTTCAAACCGCCGGCCCAAAGCCCCAAGCCCAAACAAGTATCAGGATAATCGTCCTCCGCCCGGGACCTACCCCTACAGGTCCAAGGAGCTCCAACGACCACAGAGAGCAGCTTCGGTGTGGGGTTTGGGGCTGTGGGATTGAGGGCAAGAGGCTAGTATGAAATGTGTTTGAGTACCAATTCCTCTCGACGCTGATAAGGGTGTGTACAGAGGTCGCACGCGCTTCCTGTGCGAAGAACTATTTGTGCAGCGTGTAGTTTTGGAGGTACCATGAAATTTAAACGACTGCTCGTCCTGAGCATCTGGGCCCGTACGATGCCTCTTTCAGAACGACTGCTGCGCGAATAGGAAGAAACTTGTACACCCAAGAACACAGCCTGCGATTTGTGTTCCTGATTTGTCCATGGCAGGTAACAACAGAAAGCAAAAACGAACCAGCACCGTACCGAAATATTGAGTGAACCGTTAAAGCAACAAATCCTGATAAACCATGATTTCGAAACCCTATACTAAATCTTAAAATCCTAGAGCTTCAAGCCCACTGAGGCCTATTGTGACAGCTCTAAATACCTCGCAAGACTTTCCCAACTGTCCGGAGCAACGCCAGGAGGTGCTCGGCGAGTCCTTGGACTGACCAGCGCCCGAATGAAACAACCAAGGGTAGTGAGTGGCAGATGTAGTAGTGGTAGTAGTGGTTGTTGTGGTTGCTGTTGGAAGTAGAAGTAGGCGTAGCAGTAGTAGTAGTAGTAGTCGTAGTAGTAGTAGCAGTAGTAATAGTAGTAGTAGTAGTGGTAGTAGTGGTAGTAGTAGTAGGAGCAGCAGCAGCAGCAGCGGTAGTAGTAGCAGTAGCAGTAGCAGTAGCAGTAGCAGTAGCAGTAGCAGTAGCAGTCGCAGTCGCAGTAGCAGTAGCAGTAGCAGTAGCAGTAGCAGTAGCAGTAGCAGCAGCAGTAGCAGTAGCAGTAGCAGTAGCAGCAGGAGCAGTAGCAGCAGGAGCAGTAGCAGTAGCAGTAGCAGTAGCAGTAGCAGTAGCAGCAGCATCTGCGGCAGCAGCAGCAGCAGCAGCAGCTGTAGTGTCCTGGTAGACTTAGCACTTCCGCATTACGGGGGCTCTACTGTACGAAGGCTGTAAGGGCTGTAGGTAGAGTCCCTGCCAAAACCCTAACCCTTCCAGACTCTAAACCGAAAGCCCCAAAACCCCAGACCCTTTCAAGAACTCACAAGAAGGAACCCGGAACCCTAAAGCCTCAGAACTCTCTTTTTTGTAAAACCTGGGGCTTAGGTACATCTTACGGCATATACCTACATTTTTTAAAATCTCCCGAGCCCCCGGCGCCGCGGTGCGGTCCGCAGACTGTGCGCGGGTTGTCGTGCGAGGGCCGCCTCCATGGGCTAATATAGGGGCCTTACTATTGGAATAGGGTTCCTTTAGGGTTTAGGGTTTAGGGCTCTATGAGGGTTACTAGTCGGTCTACTGTCAGGGTGTAGTATCATGGGCTAGTATAGGGGCCTTACTATTGTTGGAATAGGGTTTCTTTATAGGGGTCCTTTAAAGGGGTCCATGAGGGTTACTATTCGGTCTACTGTCAGGGTGTAGTATAATGGGCTAGGGGCTTGATTCAAGGGGTCCCAGGCTTCAGGGTCCTGTGACAGGCTTACTACGGTTTCATAGAGGATTGTCGGTTGAAGGGCCAAAGCTCAGGGGTTTAGGAGGGTGTATTTCGGACCAGAAGTACTCCTGCGAGTTGGGTTCATAAGGGTTTTGGGTATGTGTACCGAGAGAGTGTGTGTGTGCACAGGTTTCTACGGATTGGAATTTTCTTCAGGGCTTGTAGAAGGGTCCGGTAAGAAGCTCATGCGGGTTCTAGATTCGTGGATTTAGGTCTAAGTAGTAACATTAAGGCATGCGGGGTCCGGCCACGATTTGCCAGAAACTTGCTGAAAAGGTGCTATTGCCATGCATGGTGATTTGGTCTTGTTTTGTGATGACGATGATTGCTAGGGCTCACTAAATGTATCAGTAGCAGTGTGCTTTGTTGCCCTTCACTTTTGTGGTTATCAGATTGAAGCTTGCAGCCGCTTCATGCATAAGGCCTGGTTCGGATACTGGGTGTTGAAGGGTTTGGGGGTCGACCTTTTGATGCTCTATTGGCAATTTGCAGCATTACCCCGAAACGATCCCAGAGCCCTAAACCCCAAAAGCCACAAATCCAAAACCGAAAGAGCCTGATCTACAACAAGCCTCACTGCTGAATAGCCAATGCTTCGTTGAGCTTGACAAACTTGCAAGTGCCTTTACAGCTTCAAGTATTTCCTGTAGAAGCCTGAGCAATCAGTACTATTCCTCGGGGTTCCTTTTCATAAGTATAGCATATCATGTCTTACCGCAAGCCGTATTCGATTCATTAAGACCCCCGCAGGAAACATCTGAGCGTGAGCTTTTAAGCATGGAATCAATTTCCCGTGCCCTTCATTTACAATGACTTGTAATCAGCAATGTCTCCTACTTTGCGGCTTCTGACCATGGCCTCTTGTCACCTTGTACTTTTTGCACATGTATACGGACTTAACCCCTAAACTTATGGCTCGCGAGCGCGACGCGAACTCAGCCACGAGCTCGTCAGATTATGAATGCTTCTTCATGACGCTGCGCAACTGCCTGGAACTACCTGTTGTCGCAGTGACATACATGCAAAACCTATGACATGGACCCGCACCTGTGCCATCAACAACTCGTCCCTGCACCACGTCGTTGCCGCCGAAATCATGACCCATGTTGCCCATGCCGCAACCGCAGCCTGACAGCAGCAAACACTACACGAAATTGTGACGACTGCAGCTCGAAAATACAAAACACACCGCTTTGTAGATCGCAGGTATTTTGCCTCCCCACCCCCTGTCAAACCCAAAACCTACGTCACAGAATACACACCTAAGGACCTAAACCAAGAACCGAAACTTCATACCGATACTGCAAATACATCTAAACCTGTGCGTACCTAGGATTGGGACTTAGCCATCAGGCGACCTTGCGGAATGCAGGAGAACCACCGAGCGTTTTGCACAATACTTGTAGCTCGGTTTTATGGTACAGTAGCAGATACAGGCCAGGCCATGGTACAGCTAAACACGGCTTTGGGGTTTGGCAGCCACAAACACATTCTGCCACATTTAAGAGTGAGCATTGACAAAGCCACATTATGAGCAAAACCGTCACCATCAGGGCTGTCCTGAGAAGCAAGAACATCCTCCTCATCTCATCATCATCATCATCATCATCACCGTACTCATCATCGTCGTTCTCCTGATTTTGGTCCTCATTTCCGCTGCTCCTCAACATCCCCTGGCCGACATCTGAAATGATTCAGTCGGAATCCCCCAAGGGCTGGGACCTTCATTCTTCTTCGGGGGTTAAATACTAGTAATGCTTTAAGGTTTAGGATTGTTCGCGCCTTTACGGGTTAAGGGTTTCGGATGGCTGAGGCTTAGGGCTTCAGGGGCTTGGGGCTTTGGGCTTCAGGGGTTTAAGGGCTGCGGGGATTTCGACGAGAAACACCCTCCCTAAAAGAAGTTCAGCTAGCATCACCCAATTACACTGAACGCGAAACCCCCAGTCGAAAAGCCTGAGCCCGCAAGTTTCAACCCTAAGCCGAAGTAATTCTACAGAAGTCTACATTCAGAGTGATCAGTCATAGGTATCATAACCCCAGGTGGGATCCTTCCGGAGAGAATTAGCAAATCACCACTACAGTACCCCAACCAAGATCCCTCCTCGGCTGATTACACCCTAAACTCTAAACCCTAAACCTCCAATTTCAAACCCTGAACCCCAAACTCCAAGGTTAAACTCTCAACCCTGAACCTAGACACAGGCCCTAAAACCCTGAACCCGAAACCCCAAACCCTTAACTCTAACCCCTAAACGCTAAACCCTAACCCTAAACCCTTAACTCTAAACCCTAAACCCTGATCCTTAAATCCCAATACCAGCCCTAAGGAAAAGGCTCCTCCCCAGCTGCCGGCCGCAGGCGCCGCACCGCCACCTTTCAGGGACCGCACCTCCTGCAAAAGGGAGATGTTGGAGGCTTTTCAGGGGCTCCACTAGGGGTTCCTTTATAGGTTTCTTTGAGGGTTGCTATGAGGGTTCTAGGAGAAGAGAGATTTCGGGATTTAGAGGGGCTTTGGGGTTTAGGGCTTCTTTTGGGGCTCACGTAAAGCTTTGTTAAGGGATCCCGCAAGAGTTCTAGGCGGAGGGACACTTTGAGTGCAATCTAGTGGATAGCCTGATAGCTAGAATGGGTGGTGGGGTAGATTACATTAAAAACAATGTTGCTGAAGCAAAATTAAGGCACAGCATTCCCGATTGTTCACGCACCGGAGGTACGTTCAGGCTTTAGGAAAAACACCCGCGCAGACAAACCCGTCTGGTTCTTAGTAGGGATTGGGGGAACGGATCATGGAGAATATAGGGACTACTATAGGGATCCATTCCCCGATTCCTTACTAAGAACCAGACAGAAAAGCCAGAGCGCCGCTGTCCTTCTGCAAGGCACAGATCATCTCGAAAACTTTGTCCAAGGACATGTCGAAGTACTGGTGGTAGCCTGGGTGTTTAGGGCTTAGGGTTTTACAGGTTTAGGGTTTGGGGTTTTGCTGTTGCAACGCGTGTTGCGCCATCCCGTTTTTTCCATCAGGATCTAGGGGTTCGCTAAACTGCGATCCCTGTTAGGGTTCTGGAAGCCTGCACCCGTGCACCCTCAACACAAGTGCAGGGATATCAGGTAGCACAACGGTTCCAAGC